CATGACGAAGTGGATATCGTCCTCTTTTGGAAGACCAAAGTAGCTTCGCTTTCACAACGAAGCACAGCGTCTTCAGGACATGGCGGCAGCGGCAACAACAATACTACAGCGAGAATAAAAGTTATGCCTTCTTTCTTTGCGTGAACATTTGGGCGGTGTTATGCAAATCTTCCCACATAGTGTGGTAGATATGTGGGGGCGTGTTCGAACGAGCCGTTTTAGGTAGGTGTGGCTAACTCTTAACTTTTATAAAGAATATCTCTTTGGATTTGAGACTTTAGTCTTTACAACTTTACAGATCTTCTTTATGCACCAAGAGCTTGTAACACTCCAAAGAGAAAGGAAAAAATGAAATCGCATCATATGACCCCTTTAATGCAAACAGCAGCCGTTATCTGTAATTAAATCACATTTGTGGAGAACATAAAAAAAGCTAATGAATAAGTCCTTTAGATGTCCTGCACATTTTTTTGTTGTGGTCAAAGTATCTTTCTCGACAACAGTTGCAGAAATCTTAGGATATTTTCCCTAAGAAAATGAAAGTGCCTACGATGTGTCCTCATAATAGCCCACTGTCCAATTGTACTTAGTTCATTGGATTTTAGTTGTTGTGCTCACAAGATACACATTTTTATATCTGCTGAATGGCTTTCTGGAAGATTAATGTACATTAAAGGCCTGTTCACACCAAGTAGGATAACTATAAAGATAACGATAAAGATATAGTTCTAAAAATCGTTCTCAGTATTAAAGAATAGCATAGTTCACACCACAACCATTACGATAACGATACAGAGAAACGATATCGTTGTGATCACTTTCAAAACGATTTTTTCCCCAGCTGATGAACGATAAAACACTGACAGCCAATCAGAATCCATCCTGCTGTAACGAGCTCGAGAATTTAAAGCGGCAGACTCATGTGCGCTTAGAATAAACAGACGATATCGTTCGCTGGTGTGGACGCTAATATCGTTACCTTTATAGTTATCTTTATAGTTATCGCTCTTGGTGTGAACGGGGCTTAAGGACTAAAAAGTGTGACCAATTGTTAATTAAAATAAATAAACAAATAAAAATAATTACTTAGTAAGGTATAAAGTGATTTTTCCTTAGTGTTTTTTTTATATATATAAAGGAATTAGCCTGTGTAAAGTAGCTTGAACACTTTCCCATGTTCACTTTTACACATACATTGTAGAACTACATTTGAGTATTCTAACTTACAGGGTTTTAAACTGTAATGAGGTTTTCTTAACAACAAAAGGGTCAATGTTATTTTCTTGTTGTTTGAATATTCTCCCTAGAGTGAGGTTCACAAAGCTATGCTTAGAAACGAGACATTTTTAGAACCTAAATAGAATTTTGCAGACCTAAACAAATAGTACGTCAAGACTTTATCAATTAATCTTCTTTATTTTCACATTTAAAAATAAGTCATCTTATAACTTTAAGTTGACAAGAAAAAAAAAATGCAACATTAACCGTACCAAGGCATCTTAAAAATCAAATAATATATAAACACTGGCTGAAAGTAAAACAATCCCAACACAGAGAGTGACAATGCATTTCCACACCACAGAAAAACAAACGAAAAATCCCAATTAACATGACGCAACATGACTGTCAGATTACAGAGACACATCAATCTCACATGGGGAGGGGTCTAAGAGCTTGAAGAGACTGAAGCTGAAAAAAAAAGTACTACAGTACTACAGTAGTGCATGATTTTCTATATGGGAAGGTAAAATCACTGCAATATTGGTACTGTTGAGCTGAGTTCAGGGTTTAGGCTCAGTTTACAATTACTTACTGTTCATTCAGACAGACATTTCAAACACCACTTTTTATTGAAAACAGTTTATGAGGAGCTGGACGCAGCCACTGCTGCCCGACGGGGCTTGGGCACGGTTCCCTCACGGAACCCATTTCTGAAATACACAAAAAACATACTTGAGTCAACAGCACCACAGGATGTCACAGACAGTGCTAAAGATAATTCACAAGCCCATACCATGACAGCATGGGTCTCAAATCTATCGATCAATTCCCTCTTAACAGTTTCAAAACCCAACTGGTTTGCACAAAAACGGAACAGAAAACAGACCCTAAAAGACACCCATCTAAATGTACAGGTCAGGCTTACCTCAGTACAAAATCATTATCACTGGACAGTCATTTGTTCAGACATTTATTTTTGAACATCATTGGTAAACCACTGTACAAATGCTAAATTTAACCAGAGTACAGCCACTCAGGTTTTAGGCAAACAACAAATCTCAGGATCAACAGGGACGTTTCTATCATTGTCAGTCAAATGTTTCGGCATCAAACCCCAATCCCTGTACCCAGCTTTGAACTTTCACTGTATTAATGCAGGATAATATGCAAAGGAAAAAATTTTTAATTATAAATTACATGAGGCAGGAATCTGAAAAAAAAAAAAAAAAAAAAGATGCTTTCTTGAATCCCTTTCATTTTGAGACATTGGGAGTCCAGTGCTTACACTGGACAATGACAATTGTCTGGTTAATGAATATGCTATACATCAGCCCAATGTTTTTTGTACAGATTACAACCAATCACCTAAAAGCAATAACAATCAGGGAGAAGAGAAGAAATCGGTACTGAGAAGCGAATTGGCACACTAGCGATGTCACAAAGTGAGAACAAAAGGCTTCAACCGATGAAAAACAGGCAGAAGGAAGAGAGCACACCCACAGCCTTCCTTTTTGGCTGCTCAAGCTACAATATCAGTTAATGAACCACTTCATCTGCCCGGACTGATCCAATAAATTCACAATATATAGAGAGACAAAGACGGAGTCGTTCAAAATACACAACATGAAATATGTCATGATGCTATTTAAAATCCATAACACTTGAAATATTGAAAAGAACTCCAAGTTATTTTCTCATTGCAGAGTTATGCAAACACATGCATGCTTTTTGCCAAAAAAAAGTCTAACTTTCCAGCAGCAAGACACTCGTTAAATAGAAATGGAGAGAGTGAAAAAAACAGCTAGCTTACAAATATTAAACTAATCCCCCACCTCACACATTTTGCTAAAACTGGCATAAATTTGGGAACGAAGCCGATGACTGGTCAGTAACATCTAAAATAGGCTCCAAGCCGCAGATCTCTTTCTAGATGGCTAGTTTGTGCCATTTAACAAATTTTATCACATTTCCCCCCAAAAAATTAGTCCACAGATTCTTGCAACTACAGGTTTTACACCCTAAAAGATCTTGAAACACCTCCGGATGTCATGCACCTTTTAACAAGACCATTCTCATGGAGTTCAGTGTCAAAGAATCAACGGTTCTGAAACAATGTCCTCAAACTTTTTATTGTGAGGGACTGAGACAAATTTAAACTTACAGAATGTCAATTTCCAGAAAACAAAGAAATAAAATAAACTGCTTTATGAATCCCCCATCTTCCCCTCCTAGACATTTAATATTAATTAAACTGACCCATAAGTTATGGCCATTGTATGGTAATTCTAATTCCCCTGTCTGCATGAAAGTAAAAATAAAATAAAAATACAAAAAATGATAATCATACATATGAATGCATGAATGTCTGATTTAACACCCCCAGAATGAAAAAAAGTGATTCCTTCACAGATATTAGACATTCAAAAAAAAACAAAAAAAATCAATGGGGTGTTTTCAGTTCATGATATGGTCAACCAATACACCTTCCTCTATAAAAATAAATAAAATATTTACAAATAAAAGGCAAAACCAGAACATTGACTAATACCCTGATGCACTTGTATTTGCAGTGACCCAGTGTATGTTATATGGCAGAGGTCTCGCTGTTTGTCTGTCTTGTCTCTCACTCGCAGTAGCATGACGACGACAAAGACATATTACATTCTGAACTGCACTGAAATGCACCCTGTGCAAAAACAAAAACTTGATCCAAAACAAATCCCAGCACCTTCCTATAATAATCTGCAAAAATCTGCACATACCACTGAGAATTTCCTCATGAACTAAACAGGAAAACAACCAAAATAGGGTTTGTAATAAAATAAATAACAGGCCTGTGAAAAAAAAAGCAGTAGGATTTTGTGAGAAAACATTCCCTTTCCAGTCATTCCGACACTTCCTCGTCCGTATGAAAGATTCACCCATCTCCTCTGAAGCCAGGGGGTCTGAGACCAGTCTTTATAGTCCTCCAAAGTGTTCTACTCACACAACAAACTGCTTGGAGCTGTAATCCGCTGTGTAGGCCTGCCGGCTGTACTGAAAGTGGTCGGTGAGTACTGTGCTCCGACCGTGCTGAAAGTCTGAGCTGTGAGCGAAGGGCCCGGAGCCGTTGGACTGGGGTTTGTCCAATGAAACCATATCCTGTGCTGAAACTGGCAGCAGTTTCTTCTTGGCCTCCTGGTTGGAATCGTATTTCGCCTGGTGAGAAAAGCAATGGTATTTCAACTGACATCGGTTTTTGCATTCCTCATCTGTGGTTGAAATGTTTTTTTTCCAAGACATGTGTAAATTACCTTATTATAGAGGAAGACGCCTAGTATTGCTGTCATCATGCCGATAATGTTGGAGGTGTTGACGGGGTTCCTGAGCATCAGTAGGGATATACTGATGACCATGATCCTCTTTGTTGCGTTGGCTACGGCGTAACTGAGTGGGCTGACTAGGTTCAGCACACTGAAAGCGATCATGTTTTGTGCAAAGTTGCAGAAACCGCTAATGAGGAGCAGCACGATCGTTCCTGTCCAGTTGGAAATCTCTGTCTGTAGAGGAAAGTGGAGGAAAAATGAGCGTGAGCATGAAGAGTTTGGTCGAATCATATGAAACCTGTTTAAAACATTCCAGAGTCATAATAACTAGTACACTACCATTCAAAAGTTTAGGGTCAGTAAGGTTTTTTGTTTTGTTTTTGAAGGAAGTCTCTTATGCTCTCCAAAGCTGCATTTATTTGATGAAAAATGCAGTAAAAACAGTAATATTCTGAAATAGTATTACAATTTAAAACAGCTGTTTTCTATTTGAATATATTTTAAAATGTAATTTATTCCCATGATGCAAAGCTGAATTTTCAGCATCTTTACTTCAGTGTCACATGATCCTTCAGAAATCATTCTAATATGCTGATTTGCTGCTCAAGAAACATTTCTGATTAT